TTTCAAGAGGTTTTTTATTTCCAAGTAAATCAAGAATAAGCAGTTTCTGATGTTAATTAAAAGAGGAAGTGAAAATCTAGTGTCCTTTTGAAGGCTCTACACTGTGGCTTGGGTTCGATGTTTCCCTCGACTCACCCACTGGAGATTGCATAAGGAGTGCCTGTGGGTGATCCTGTCACCTCCTACATCTGGAAATGATTTCAAAGAGCCACTCTGGTTGCCAGCTCCTCTATTTACCACAGATGTCGGCTCCACAAAAAAAGGGAGCTGTATTCAATCCACCACTTCTCCCCTAGAAATCCATTCTTACCTGCTCTTGATGACCCTTCAGATCCCTACCATAGCCGCTTCAACTTCTCCTGCCCTTTGTTTACTTTTCCAGCTGTGGAAATAGTAAGAAATACAGTGGGAGTGGCAGCTTAGGATCAGAGTAAGATTCTTTCTTTCACTCATTCTTCTCTATTGTCCTGGATAATGGCATGCTTGATCATAAAACAGAGGCAGTCCTTGGGCAAATTATATTTCCCACAGTCCTTTGGGCTCTTAATCCAGTGCACTGCTTAGCAGTATTATCAGTATTATCAGGATGAAGAAGTAATGAGCAAAGGTAAGGGACTTCTGATCTGGAGTCAACCTGTTTCACCATGTTCCATCTGTACTATGGCTTCCTCGCCTGTATATAGGGTTTGCATGAAGACAATGTAATGATTTGGGATTCGTATTTTTCTAAGCACATTCCACAGCTTAACACACTGACACAACTGAAAGCCTTTCTACAATCAATTAAGCATACATTGGCTTCTTCTTGGTATTATTTCACTTTCTCAATTATCCAGCAAGCAGCAGCAATGGTATCTCTTGTTCCTCAGCTTTTTCTAAAGCCAGCTTGAACATCAGACAGCTCCTTTTCCATGTACGACTCTAATATGCATTGGATGATCCTAACCATCATTTTACTAGCATGTATAATTAAGGATCTTGTGATGGTTTGCTCACTCTATTAAGTCTTTTTTATTTGATATTGGTATATAGGCTGACCTCTTTCAATCTGATGGTCACTGTGTCATTCTCCAGATTTGCTGGTTAGAACTTTTACTGATTCTCATTCTGTTGCTTGCCATATTTCTGTAGCTATTCCATCAATTGCTGTACCCTCCTAACTTGTAATGAGCGAAGTGCTGATATTCTAGTTTTGTTTTTTTTTTGGTCTGCGCTCAGTCATTGCTGACCCTGCAGTGACTGCTTGGACGAGTCCT